GATTCCCCAGCCCAGACACGTATGGGAGGCAACTGACTGATGCTTCTCTCTCACACTGGTGTTCTTCCCTCTCTAGAAGCAATGAAAAAAAAATGTCCTTGGGTGAGGATAAAAAACAAAAACCAAAAAACTGACCCTTATTAGGATCTCTTACTTGCAAGGCCTGAAGCTCTGCTGGACAGAGAGGGTAAGAAACATTCCCAAAGTCACACAGGGTATTAGTGGCAGGACCACGAGGAACCTCTCATAGAACCATAGCTTACCAGCCTAAAGACACTTACAGAATCATAGTCCATGCTCCCATCTTGCAGAAGGGAAAGCTGAGGCTCAGAAACTACCCTGCCCATAGCCCCACTGTGGAGAGGGCAACCCCAAGATCACAGGTCTGTGGTGTGTGCTTTCCCACAAACGCCTCTGTGCAGAGAAAGCAAGTGCTCCCTCCTGCCCCAAAGCAGGCCCGGTGGCAGGTCCCACACCTCTCCGACAGTGACGGCCTCTCAGGAGGCACTGAGGTGCTTTCCAATCTGGCAGGGTTACCTTCTCCAAGCTCAGCACACCTGCTGGAAGGGGAGCTGGGCACTCAAATGACCAGCAGGGGCCTCGCTGGGGGTAACAGGAGAGAAATAAAGCAGGTGGCAGGTGTGAGCTCTCCTTGTTTGCAGAACCTCATGAGAAACCTGTGTTATGCTTTCAAACACAAGCCCTGTTTCCAGGTCAGCAACAGAGTGTCCAAACCATGACCGGCCCAGAACAGGAAGGGGAGGGCAAACGGGGTCTGAGGCAGGGCCTTCTGCTTCACCAGCTGAGAGGGCATGGGGCAGACGGGAGGCGGTCCTCGGTGCAGGACCCGAGCTGTCTGGCAGGGCAGGGGAGGGCTGCCATTCCGACATCCAACAGAGACCCCAGGAAAGGCAGACTGCAGGGGTCACCTTGAGGCCCTCCTCCCCACCCCTCCGATCCAGAAGGGGCAGCATCAGGACCTCCTGCCTGCCCCTCCCTCCCTCCCTCCCTCCCTCCCAGCACAAGGGCTATGAAAGCTCCTGCTTTGTAAACTCCTGGCATTTCTGCACAGCCCACCCCAGCCAGAGACAGTGGGGGTTCATGGAAGTGAGATGACCTGAGGAAGGTCCCGGGAAGTGGGGGAGGGAGAAAAGAATTCAGAGCCGGGCATACGTTTCCAAAGTCTGGGCTTTTCTAAACTGTGCCACGTGGGAGGGAGCCTTTGGCTCGGGAGACAGGTCATGACAGCGCACTGGGGTGGCCTCCACGTGAGCCAAGCTTTCTAGAGAGCTGACTGTCACGACCCGTCCAGTGGGCTATTCATTTTTGCTTGCCAGACTGAGCTCTCCACATTAGTTTTCTAGGGCTCCATGACACGGCACCACAAATTGGGCGCCTTAACAGCATAAATGTATTCCCTCACAGTTCTGGGAGCTGAAAGTCTGAGGTCAAGGTGCCAGCAGGGCTGGCTGCTTCTGCGGGCTGCGAGGGACAGTCACTGTACACCTTCCCCAAGCTCCTGGTGCTGTGTTGGCAACCCTCAGCATTCCCTGCAGAAGCAAAATCCCAATCTCTGCCTTCATCTCCACAGGGCGTGCTCCCTGTTTGGGTGTCGGTGTCCCAATAGCCCCCTTTTATAAAGACACCAGGCATGGAGTGGATTAGGGGCCCAGCCTATTCCAGTGTGGTCTCGTCTTAACTAGTGACAACTGCTACAACCCTACTTCCAAATAAGGTCACATTCTGAGGCAATAGGGGTTACGACTTCCACATATGGATGGTGGGGGCAGGGTACAATTCATCCCGTGACACTCTGCAATGATGGAGACGGAGGGAAATGTTACAGCTCATCTTCACCTGTTTCCCACTGTTGGAACTCAGAGGGCACCTGGGAGGTTCAGAACTGCTCTGGGCAAATTCCCTGGCCCCTGCTGCCCACAGTGGGCTGAGACAGACAGCTGTGACAGGCTGGGCTGCCTCTGTCCAGGAGGGTGGCAGAAGAAAGTGGGTGTCGGTGGCCGGACACACAGGCTGAAGGGAAGAGCAGAGGGATTCAGAAATGTGGGAACGGCGAGTGGAACATGCCCTCAGGAAACGAGTGGGCTAGTGAGGAGGTGAGACCTGATACACCAATAGTGGGCACGATGAGATGAAGAGGGGTTGCATCTGGAACCCAGAGGCCTGGGCTGAGGACCAGGTCTGTAAGCCACTGGGCCTCTCAGGGCCCTGGAGTGCACAGCAATGACACGGGGATGGAGATGAGACACCCTCTGTTGGAGGGGGCACAGTGGGCCTGCAGGTCCAGCTAGAGGTCTATGTGGCCCCTCCAGGTTCCCACAGCAGCAGTCACAAACTCCAGGAGCAAAATCGTGCACAGGCCCTGCCCAACGCCGTGCTGTGAGGACTGGCCCTGATTGGCACCAAGGATGCTCAGCCACAGAAGAGCCTCCCCACCCAGACTCCTCTCAGGGTGTGGTGGTTCCTCCCAGACCAGCCCTCAACCAGCGGCTTACGGAGGTTTCTGTTTTGACAGGGCTTCCTGCTTCAGGGAGTCTAGAAGAGTAAAGGTGACCCACATAGCTTGTCTGGTCCCCAAAGCCACACCAGGTACGACAAATCCATCTCTGTGAGACTGTAAACCCTGGGACAGCACTGGAATCACAGAGGGGGGACCACCCCTGTGGGCAAGGCCTCTGACCTGCCACAGGGTAGCCCTGCCAAGCTGCTGGCCCACCAAATGCCCCCAGTCTCCCCTTTCTCCACTGCCCTCTGGAAGGGCTGTCGATCAGCCTGAGGCCTGCTAGGGCCTGGCACAGCTAGAACGCAGGGCTGCGCCCTGTGCCCTCAGGATGGGTGTGGTGCCCTTCTCTAAGGCATCAGTCCCCTTCTCACACACGCAGGGAGCAGGTGCATCACCCAGCCTGTGGCTCCTCCAGCCCAGTCTGCCTGGACATCTCGGCCACGCAAGCTTCCTCCCATAGCTGCTGCCCCAGAGTTGTGCACACTGTTGGGTGGGGCTGCGGAGCTCCCCATCACTCAACCCCACAACCAGCTCTGGAGCACTGTGTGCCTGAACTGGTGTGAGCCCTGAAGGGCTTCATGGGGAGAGACTGGGAAAGAACTAAGGAGAGAGGAAGATGCATTGGAGGGTTCAACCAGACAGACGGAGCTCAGGGGGCGTGCTTACTACAGGGACGGGGGCCACTAATGGCCAAGGCAAGGCTGGGCAGAAGAAAGAGGGATGACCCAGCCAGTCTTGAACAGGTACCAGTGAAAAGAACAGCAGCAATTGGAAAAGCCCAGCAGGTCGCTGGATACAGGTCAGAGCGGGTACAACGGAATTCTGGAGAGCTCCGACATTTAGGGTTGTTAGAAGAGGAGCCAGGAAAGATGGAGGACCTAGGAGTAGCCCAGCTACCTGTCCCCACACTGACAACCTGAGTGGCCAGTATCTACATAAATGTTTTTAATTCTTTTTATTTATACTTACGCATTAAAAGTATAGCTCTAGAAAGCAATAATGATATTCCTATGCAAAATAACACCCTGGAATATAAAGTTTTGTTTCTAAATATAAATAAATAAAGAATTAAATTAAAAATTCAAACAAAATACTTTTTCCCCTGAAAGTCTGTGCCAAAAACGTGGGTGCGCATTATACACGGCAGAATACGGTATCATTGCCACGTTAACAGTGAGGGGAGTGTGGCGGTGAGATGCCAAACAGGAGCCAGCAGAAGAGCCCGCCACGAAGAGGGGAGTCCCGGGACTCACCTAAGACTGGAGGACGGACAGGAGGTTCTAGGTGGGAGCTGGAAACATTGGGAAAGCTTGGTTTGGGTGAACTCTACACCTGGGGGAGGTAGACGCAAAGCCATCTACGGAGAGAGAGGGACTGGGGTACAAATAAGGTTGAGAAAGAAAAATAGTACAGAAGGGCCCCAGGGAAATGTAATAAGGAATCAATACAAGATGAGTAAAAGGATTTGCTCCAGTATTGAGGACGTGAGTGGAGTCGGAAAACCCTGGGACTGATAACTGCAATGTGTCTTATTCATCTCCGTGTCTTCGGGGCCCAGCGTGGACATTTGATTCACAGCGGACCCTTGAGAACAGCTAAGTTTCAAATGGAAGAAGGAAAAAAGGGAGGGAGGGAGGGAGGGAGGGAGGGAAGGAGGGAGGGAGGAATAAGAGACTGTCGATCAGATGGCAGAAGTGTAGAAGCGGGGACTGCTGAATGAAGGTGGTGGGGCAATAGCTCTGAAAGGCAGTCGGGGAAGAATGTGTCCTGGGCCCTGTGAGTTGAGCCACTGGGTCTTCACTGGAGGGAACCCGGTGTCACTCATGGTGAGGACAGAGAAGGCATGGCAGAAAAGTTGGTCTCCCAGCCCAGAAATGCACATCTGTGGTGAGATGCCAGTGACAAAGGTTGGCGATGAAGGGGCCAGATGGTGACCTGATCCAGCGGTGGCCATAGCCCTCTGGACCATGTCCTTCCTAGTGCCAGCCCTGGAAGACCCCTTGGCTTCCAAGTACAAGGGCCTGTACAGCACCTCTAGGGAGCAGCTCAAACCTGGGGGCAGCCCTGGGACCCAACCAAGAGACCACAGGGCCTTGAGGCAGCAGGCTGGGCTGGTGGGGACCCACATGCCACTGGCCTGGCCTGGCCTAGGTGGCCAGGCCTCAGCTCCGCTCCACAGTCCTGCCCTTCCCCAGAAATGAGGCTGAGAGAGGGACCTTCTTCAGGTTGAAGACAAAGCCAGAGGGAGTCACCTTCAGAGTTGGCTCACTGCCCCCAACAGCCCCCTGGTACAGGGGCACACACCAGAGGGAAGTGCCCAGGACACATGCCAGTGCTTTCCGGGACAGCGAGCAGAACACGGGCGTGTGCAGTAAGGGTACTAGGGAAGGGAATGTGTGGAATTTAACCTTGTGTCAGGAATGAAGCTCAACCCATCCAGCCCCGTGCCCTTCACCCTCACAGGAGGGGGTGTCCCAACCCGGAGAGGCACCTTGGGGAGCCTATCTGGGCGCGGCTGACTGGGCACAAAGGCAACCGAGCTGCAGCAAAAAGCGCCACTTCGCAAGCCCGGAACAAGCACTGCGAGCCCTCGAGCTCCATCTGAGCTGCCCTTACCATCGTCTGCCCTGCTCACTGCCCTGCATGTTTGCGGCATGGGGCTCAGTCAAAGGTAAGACAGAGCAATCGCCACACTGACACAAACACTGAGGATCTTCCGTGTGTCAGGCACCGAGCCAGGCACCGTGGGGAGACAGCAATGGGTCAGACACAGGCCCTGCCTCTCGGGAGCCTGTCGTGGGCAGCTGCACTTCTCAGACCCAGGTGCAAGGGGCTCACCTGGGATCTTGTTACAGTGCAGATTCTTATTCAGAGGCTGCATTCGGACAAGCTGTCAGGTAATGCTGATGCTGCTTGCCCAAAGAACGTAATCCAAAGAAAAAAAAGTATGTCTATTATTTCTGTAAAGAGATGTAAAACCATAGGAGTAGCAATGGTATCATTTTATCCTGAAAATGGCCATAAAATAGGTAGCATTGCCACTTGCAAATTTTATATGAATTTTATGTTAACGCTTCCTGCACCTTCTCACTTTGTCACAGTCCTTCTGTGTGGGGTGGCGGGGAGGGGGGCCCTGGGGAAATGCTTCTGTGAAGCAGCATGTTTAACATGCCAGGAGGGAGGGCCCAGCTCTGCCACCTTCCATCCCCAGGGATTGGCAATCAGTCTGCGGTGCAGGGGACGGCGGGGCTGGGAGGCAGGTGTAGGCTAGTAGTTTCCCACGGCCAGGAAAAACATACCGCTGTGTGATGAGGTTAAGGATGTAGATTCTGGGGGCAGACAGTGAGGGTTCGAATCCTGGTCCTCTGCTTACTGCCCCGGAAAAGGTACTAATGCTGTCTGCACTTCAGGCTCCCTGTGTGGACACAGGGTTGTCGGGAGGGTGTCACGAGACAACACAGGTAAAACACCCGACACAGAGGAGGTGACGGAAGCTGCAGACACACATTGCGTTCAGTGAGAGGCAGTACGGATTCTCTGTGGTGAACACACACACTCCCCACTTTGTCTACGGTGGGCAGGGGCCCTGAACCCAGGTCACCTGGCTCTGCACACACCAACAGTGCAATCTGGGACAAGTCACTTCCCTCCCCAGGGCCTCCGTTTCTCTACCTGTTAAATGGATTAATCAGCCCTAGAATCCTTTCTTGTTCTGAGAGCCTATTTTTCTATGCCCGGGTGATCACCAAACTCCAATAATTAATGTCTCTTTAAATTAGTACCAATGTGAGTACGAAATGGATTTTTTTTCCAGTTACTTACTTTTGTTTCAAAAACCCATTTCCATGTACCCACAAAGCCCCACAATTTGTGATGAGCATTTTCGTGAGCCGCAATCCATGTGTGGGGACAACCTGGCAGAGCCCAGGTTGGATGCAGCGAGACCGCTGTGACCCTCGGGCTCACCGTGACCGTTCTGGCGGGGGCTGGTTCGTGCTCCCAGGCCTCTGAGAGTCTCATCCTTGGGCTGCGGTGATGACGCAGCGCTGGGAGCACTAAGCACAACACAGGAAAGGGACACCTGGACAGCTGTGCCTGTAACCTCCCCCACCCTGGGCTAGCCCTGAGGCAGTAGCCTCCCTCACCTGCATTTCCTTTGCTGCACACAGGCCTCCTACAACTCTGTGCTGCACCAAGGAGCAGAAAAACCCTTCTTGACTTCTTAAGCCTCTCCTTACTCCAGGGCTGCCCAGGGCCAACGCACAGGGGCAGCTGTATTAGATGTCATGTACATGAATGGAACACACCCGAGCAAGATGTGCCTGGCCTCCAGCCCACCTGAACGTGCAGCTTGCCCAGCTGCCTGGCATCCCCACACAGCTGGCTGCACTGCACGCCCTGAAGCCTCACAGCTAGCCAAGCCATTGTGCTGTCTTCACTTTTTCTCTTTTGTTAAGAAGGGGAAAAAATCCACAAGCAAACTGTCTCCTGACAGGCCAGCTTGGATCACAGTCATGCTGGGCTGGACCAAGCGGCGACATTACCAGGGCTTTAGCAGAGTCTGGTGCAGAGAATAAGCAACTCCTCAATGGTGGCCTGGAATCTCAGCTGCTCGTCTGGGCTTCAGTCCTGGGACTGAGGCTCCTTCTTGGGCTTCTGGCAGGCAGGGGGTCTCAGCAGAGACTACACACCTGCAGGGGAGAGTCTGTGCAATCCAACGGACAAGCACAGTGGGTAAGAGAGAGGCTGAGGAGTCAGGCCTGGGCTCCCTCCGGGTTGCCCCTTCTAGAGGTGGGGACTACAGCTAGTGACCTAACTCTGAGTTGTGCTCATCTGTAAAACCGAAAGAATGAGATGTTTTATTACGGCTCTCATAAGGCTTACATAAGATACTCTACGCCAAGTGCCAGGGGAGAGCCTGGCACAATTATTAATTCAAGAAATAGTTAGTGAAAACCTACCACGCTAGATACCATTCTATCTAGGCCCTGGGAGACAACACTAAGGAAGAAAGACAACTATGATTCCTGCCCTCTCGGAGCTCAGTGTCGGGAAGCGGGTGGGGCGTGTGCGGACCACACAACAAGCAGTCAGGACTCCAGGTGAGAGGGGCTGGGATGGCACAACAGCAGGGAGCTTTGAGACCCCAAAAGAGGCTCCTCACCCAGTCTTGGGGGCTTCCAGGAAGGCTTCCCGGAGAAAGTGGTACTTAAGTCCAGACATGAAGAGTTAGGCAGGTGAAGAGTGGAGGTGGCAATGAGAGAGCCCAGCATTGCTGAAGACGAGATGGGCAGTGGGCAGGGGCAGACTGGGAAGGGTCCTGTGAGGAAGGGCAGGGAGGCTGGCCTTGAGGCTAAGCGTGACAAAGGCATTAGAGCAAGGTGGCTCCTGTGTGAGGAAGGTCACTGGCTAGGGTGGCGTGGCTTGGAGGAAGCGGGGCTGGGAGAACAAGACAGGCGGGAGGCTGCTGCAGTGACCAGGGGAGCAGGGTGGTGCTGAGGGTGGGGGGGAAGTGCAGCCCCGGGAGACACTCAGCCGGCAGGGGACTGGGCCTGAGGACTGACGGATGCGGGGGACGAGGAGGGTAAGGAGCTCCAAGCTAGGGTTTCTATCTTGAGTGCTCTGGAAACGGCATACAGGGCAACAGCTACTTTAATCGTGATCCCGACTTATGCAGGGACACTGGCCAGGCCACTCACTCGTCAGGGCCTCATTCTCCCACCTGTGCAACAAGGAGGCCTTCCCAGCTCAGATATGCTGTGGCTCTGTGGTCCTTTCTCCAAACACAGGACCGGGCTGGGAAGATGGGAAAGGGGACAATGGTGAGAGGCTGGCCTGTGTGGCCCATTCGGATGCCACCTTCTTTTCAGCCAACTCGGAACGGAGCAAACCTGTCTCTCCCCTGCCCCTTCGAATTGGCGGCCACCCTGCCCTCACTTCTGGTGAGGTGCCCCAGAGCTCTTCCTCTGCCTCCCCGCCGTGTCATGCTGGTGGTCCCCTTCCATCAGGAAACGCATCCCCGAGTCCCTCCTCGGATCTGCTCTGCTCACATCTATTCTCCATACCTTCCAGACCATTCAGAATCTCTGCTGTGCCTCGGGGGCTCCGTACAAAGGCAGAAAACAATCAGAACTCCCCTCTCCCCTCTCCTCACCTAGCACTCTATTCAGGTGTCCACATAGGTGTCCCTGAGGCTGCGGAGCTGGCAGAGCACTGAAGGAGAGAAAATCCCACCCACTGCACACAGGGCCTGTCTTCCCGCTCTCTGCGGGGTGGAGCTCTGGGGCCTGGGCTTACCCAGAATGACCAACTGGGGTTTGAGTGAACGCGAAGAGTGGAATTAAAAAAAAAAACAGGTCAAAGTTGGCATTAAAATTAGCTGCTGGTCCGAGGCACTACCTGAGGGAAAGAATTGGAGCCCTCTGCAACAACAGCGGTTGTGCTGGCACCAGTGCTGGAGCCATCCTCCTCCTGGAACTGCGGGCTGTTCAGGGGCGGCCGACCCCTCCTCCTCGGGGGCTCCTGGCCGCCCTCTCTCAGCCTCTCTCCCGTGGCAGCTCAGCTGCTGGACTGCTGCCTGAGAAGAAGGACCGTGACCGGGACAACACCCAAGTAAGGAGGCTCCATCTTCACCCACCCACGCTCATGGAGGCCCTCGTCCCACAAATCCTGGGGCCTCCCAGGGCGTGGGGTTCCGAGCTGCTCTGCTCTCTGCCCCATGCACAGCCCAAGGGTTGTCTTGCTGGGGAGGCCACAATTTCTAAGTCTTGGCCTGAGGAAGAGTAAGAAAAAATCTCGGCTGTGGACACACCTTGGGAAGGAGGCAAAGGATAAAAACAAATCCTCCCAGCGGAGCGGGGAAACCAGCACTGTGCTTAAACCCGCATCCACGCCCCTGGCTGACCAGCATCCTCTACACTCCCCGCCTCCCCCCTATCAGGGCCTCCACCTCCTCAGAGTCACCTGGCTCCTTGCCCAGGAGCTACAGACACCTGCCCACATGCACATAGACCAAGAGTGGCCCCACCAGGCCTCCTTGTGGCTCGTTCTGTCCAGACACAAATGCACTGGGTTGCTGCCACAGAATGTGACTGGCTGACTCATCCCCCACACACGGTTCAGAGCCAGACACCCTGCAGGATCTTGGGAAACTTTTAGCAAGCTAAGCCCTTCAAGCTTCAGACCCGTCCTGCTCCTCGGAAGGGCATCCCAGATGTATTTGCACAAACGTCTCGCTGAGCGAGCTCTGAGCTAACCACCCGTCCAGGCAGCCGTGTCTCTGGATGTGCGGGGACCGTACAAGTGCTAGTCACGCTGTCTCCATGTCGTCTGCTCTTCCTCACGGGCAGGTACCATGCGGCTGCACCGTCAGGGGCCCTCTCTGCACAGACGTGATGCTCCCGTGCGGCTCTGCTCAGTCCGCCTCTGGGAAGGCTTCCTCAGCTAACCCTGCTCTTCCTCCACTTCCCCTCGCAGTCTCGCTCACTTAACAGCTGAGTGGTGAACAGCAGTGCTCTCCAACTTCACGTGCACCCCACAGTTGTGAGGGGCAGGATTCCACATTTCCGACAAGCCCTCAGGTGATGCGATGCTGTGGCCTAAGGTCACACTTTAGGTACCAGGGGGATAGAGGAAGAGGGAGGACTCTGAGTCAGTCGAACTGTATCCTGGTGCCAGCTCCTCCGGAACCAACCATCACACCTCAGAAGACTGCCGTGAGGATGACGTGAGGGGAGGTGATGCAGGACAGTCCCTGAAGCAGTGGCACTCACAGATGCAATTTCTCTCCCTTTTGCTTTGATTTTCTCCCTGTAATAGCAGGGAACGTGATACCTCAGAAGAGAGGTACTGCCAGAGAATAAAATAACACAGAACCCCGTGGTGCATGGCAGGTGATGGATGATGAGTTTTCCTTCCTTCTTTCTGCTGTGCGGTCCAGGGTCTAGCATATAACCTGTGCCCCATACGGTCGGTCAGGGGCAGGGAGGGCCACCTGAAGGCCTGCCTTTTAGACCAAGGGTCTCCCTCTAGCTCTGAGTGCTTGTGCACATGTTGCTGGGGGAAGGGGTCATTCAGGTCATGCTGACAGGCAATTCCTCAAGTCACTTTGGTACTTGGGTACTTGTGTATGAGCAAGGACACCTGCCAACACGTGGAAGGAGGCACAACAGAGCAAGGGCCTGCAGGTAGCAGCCAGCCTGGAGACCCCTGGCTGAGGCCCCAAGCTCTGCTGCCCCTGATCATTGGTTGAGGCACCTTTGCTGAAGGGAGCTGGATGTTCCCACTTGGCAAGTCTGATTCTCACTGAAGGTCAGCAGCTCAACAGAAGAAAGCAAGGTGCTTTTAGGAGCTACAGTAACCAGTCTGGAAAAGACCACTTATCCACACCTTCCCTTCTCTGCCCCTTCCTTAGCCTGTAGGTACTCAAGCAGCTACAGAGAGGGTCTTTCTCATTCCGAGAGAGAGGATAGGGGCTCAGGAGACCCAGCTCAATACATGATATATAGCAATGTTGTTTCTAGAATCTAAAGCAAAGGCCAGAGGAGAGTTAGACTGATGGCCAATCCATCTTCAGCAGGCGTTTATTGACAGCCAGTCTGCACTCTCACCCTCCTCGCCCCGCATACACATACTAAAGCAAACCCCCTTTCCCTTAATCAGAAAGTTATGCTCTTTCACCATACTTGTAGGGGGCACCTGCTGAGACTGGGACCACCTAGGGGAGACTGGGGGATCCCTCTGGCATGGTCCCAGTCCACATGCAGCATGGAGGGACATGGAGCCAGAGAAGGGGCGCTGTAAGTGATGGTGATGCAGACCCAGAACTCAGGGGCTCAAGTGGGACAAACAAACACTGTGATCCCCAGGAACCATGCTCTGTTCCCACAGGGCACTCCCCCAACATACGCACATGCACACACTCGTATGCACACATGCATGTCCTCTGCCTTCAGTAACAAGTCCAACTTCCCAGCCAGTTCTGCATCCTCCTTTCTTCAGAAAGAGTACAAATTTGCAAGGAAGGCATTGCTTCTCCAGTCCCAGCCCTTCTCCTCGCTCTGGTAACATTCCAAACTCTACTTAACAAGTAAGGTTGAGGTTTCTTTCTTTCTTTCTTTTTTTTAGTCCTCACCCAGGGTCATGTTTATTGATTTTTAGAGAGGGGGCAGAGAAAGAGAGAGAAGAAAGGGGAGGGAGAGAGGTAGATCAGTTGGTTACCTCCCATACATGCCCCGATGGGGGATGGAACCTGTAACCTAGGTATGTGCTGTGACAGGGAATTGAACCCATGACCTTTCAGTTTATGGGACGATGCTCCAACCAACTAAGCCACACTGGCCAGGGTGAGGTTTATTTTAACTGGCAATTAAAACCAGGGCACAGAGGCAAGTTTTGTAAAGCTTGGTTTTCATCAAGGATGACTTTTCTTCTGTGGGTTTACAAAAATGAGAATCTTGAGTGAAACTGTAGGCATCCACATAAACAGTGAAGCCCCCTCAGTCTTCCAATCTGAAACAGAATGTGAAGATCTGTTCTGCCTGAGGTTAGAAAGAATTCAAGCTCACATGATTTGTTTCCATATTTAAAAAGAAAATAATTCGAGCATGCTAAGACTGTGCCGTTAACTCGGACGACACCTCCCAGTGCAGGCTGCACCCATCTTTACCTCACCTAGACCCCTAGGAAGACCTTCCCTGGGCACCTACCTTATGGGGTTTCCTATTTCTCTGTCTTCATCTTCAAAAGCACAAGAAATGCAGGTAGGCCTCTCTGCCCCTGGGGCAGTCCAGTCCCCTATCTTAGAACAGCATGGCTTCAAGCTGGAGACAGCCTGTGGAACTGTTCTCAGTGCTGAGCTGGTTTCCATGGGAAAATACTACACACACACACGCACACAGAGCTGACATTTATTAAGTGCTTTTTCCATGTCAGCTGGTGTTGAAACAGTTTACATGAGCAACCCCATGTCATCCCCCCACTCTGTGAGGCAGCTTACAACGACAGGGATGACGGCAGCCACTTAGAAAGCAGCAGGCGCCAGCACAGGTACGCACTGCTGTGAGCGCTTTACACGCATGGACTCAATCACTCTTCACACGCTTGTGAGGCAGGCCTGACAATGTCTCCACTTTATAGATGAGGAACCTGAGGCTCACAGAGGTTAAGAAATTTAGCCAAAGCCACTCGGCTGGTAGGTGGTGAAGCTTGGGTTTGAACACAGGCAGCCTGGGGGCGGAGCCTCCTGTTACAACACGGTCCCGCTGCCCCTCAGTGCACAGTGAGCGCCCTGTGAACACCGCACTGGGACGAGCACCCCTGAGCACCTACTCTGCCACGCTGCCCTGCCGCTCCCTGCAGCCCGTCCTGGCCCAGCAGGGGAGCGTGGGTGGAGGGAAACCCTGGCACAGATTCCCTCATACAGAGCAGTCGGGTTGGGCAGAAAGAACACTTCAAACCAACTGTTCCAGCCAGAGAAAGACTAGGGTAATTGAAGGAAATCAAGAAAGGCCCCTGGGGAGTACAACTCCAGTGACGAGCAGGGAGGAAGAACCAAGAGTCCCAGTGGGGCGGGCGTGGGGGGTTAGGGAGAAACAGTGTGCTCCAGGGCTGAGCCACAGCAAAGAGTGTCAGACGAGACAGACACTGTGTATCCACTCATATGAACTATCTAGAATGAGCACAGAGACAGAAAGTTGATGAGAGAGGGCCAGGAACTGAGGAGAGGGGTGGGTGGGAGCTACTGCTAACAGGTACGGAGTTTCTGTTTGGGTGATGCAATGCTTGGAAACAGTGGTGATGGTTGCACGACATTGTGAATGGAACTCGTGTCAGTGACTGTACACTTAAAAACAGCCAAAATGACACATTTTATGTTACATATATTCCATCATAATAGAAAATGAAGGAGGAGAAACAGCCACTGGGTGCAGACACTGGCAACGTCTCCAGAGACCCTGTGTACCACCCTGCCGCATAGCTCAGGGGCCGAGGTGAGCCACTTCAACCTTTTGGGCCCGAGAACCAGATCCCTTGTGTGTCCAGATAGAATCAACAGGCTGAAAGCCTGGCTCGCCGCCTGCGTTCCCAGCCACCTGCTCACGGGATCCCTCCCTGGGCCTCTCTGCGGTCTCCAAGCCACCCTGAGGTCTCCAGTCCCCACAGGGCTGCGGCCTTTCCTTTTCACTCGCTGCTTCAAGCACAGGCTGCTCTGCAATCACAATTTATCTGTTTTCCAAGGCTGTGGATGCCAGAGGGATTTATCTGCTTTCCAGAGCTGTGGATGGCAGCAGCATACTGTATAATTAACATGGAATGTTCCCATGGGAGCTGAGGACATGTGGGACAGAGGTCAGCTTCTCAAACAACAATCACTTTCTGTGGGAGGACTGTTTTCTCCTCTCCTTCTCTCTTCCCGAATGATTAACATAATAAAACTCCGAGAGAGAAGGAAATAAACCTGTTTGGCTCCACACGTACAAAGCAGACCTCAGTGAAGGTGCATGGCCTCACAGATGGGATAACAGCTGGCCGGCTGCGTCCATCACCAGCCAGGGCCCACGACCACAGACAGACACATTTAGCACACACCACTGACGCGCTCACAGACCCAGCACTGCCACTGGGGGCCTGCACTGTCAGACTGCTGCGGTCAGGTCAAGCTGCTGAAAGAGAAATCTTACAACCAGCTGGTTCACAGGCCCCTTTCTTGCACAAGGTAGCAAAGCCATAACCATCTGATGAGGAATTAAAATGCAACAACCGTATCTAAAATCTTGTTCAGTGTAGAGGTTCTTAAGAAACATTTCTGTTGTCTAAGCGTAGCTTGGTAATATTTGGGATCTGTTTCTTACTGGGCGTAAATGGGAGTGGGAAGAAAAAAGTCTGCTAGTCTATAGTTAAAAACAAAAAACAAAAACAAAAGGAAGACATGCACCATGAAGAACAGGAAGAAGGAGAAGAAAGAATGGAGAGAAGAGCCATTCCCAAACAGAGCAAAGCAAACCTTTAAAAAAATAAAGAAAAAGATGAAACATGAAAAAGAAAAGGAGGGAGCACTTGTTCTACCAAAAAAAAAAAAAAAAAAAAAGAAAAGAAAAGAAAAGAAAAAGAAAAAAAGGAGGGAATGGGAGACTAAATAAGGTACCAAAAGAAAAGTCTGGAAGGATGTGGAAATTCCAACTCCTACATGAAGCCTTCCAGGATCTTGCATCGGAAATTAATCTCCCTACTGCCCTTGGTCCTAGGTTATCACTCCTTGCAAGGAGTGGTCCAGCCATGCCTGGCCCTCCCCTTACCCATCAGCTTATGGACCTATGACGGACAGATGAACAGGGCTGGTTTCCTATTCATCTCTGAATCTCCTGCCTGCAACTAGCATGGGGTCTTGTCTCAGAAAGCATGGCCTATATGAAACAGAAGTGGATTACAGGGGGGCATTTTGACTGCCAAGATAACCAGACAGCGATTTAGCTAGGACAGGGTCAAGGTACAAAACCTGTCCCTGAAGGCAAATATCCAGAGTTTGCTGCCCTGACATTAGGGTGACGCCATGCTCCTCACTGCCTACAGGGTTAACTCTAACTCCTCAGCACAGCACACGAGACCGCCCCCCGCCCCATGACCTGGCCCTGCCCCTGCTCCCAGTGCCTCGCCCTGTGCTCCATCCAGATCAAAGTAGCTAAGTCCCTGCACGTGCCACCTGCATGTGCTGCTGCCCCTCTTGGCTGGCTGCAGTGTCCTCTCCCTTCCTGTCCACCAGAGACTTTTCTTTATTAAAACTCGGTTCAGAGGCCACTTCCTCGGTGAAGCTCCTTCCTCCCTCCTCTCGTCCCTGGACACTTCTTGACTGTGATGTTTACGATCATCCCGTGTGCCTCTCTGTC